TATTTTTCTAGCCATCGTGTTACTAGTGGAGTTCCACAAGGATCTGTGCTAGGGCCAATACTTTTTCTTCTTTATACAAGCGACCTTCCCACCCGACTTTCTTCTATGTGTTCCATCTATGCAGACGATACCAAAGTCTATAACACTGCCATGAACTCATCTGTGCTTCAAGAAGAAGACCTCAAGCTGATCAGAAAGTGGTCAGAACTTTGGCTCCTGCCTTTAAATCTCTCGAAATGCTACGTTCTCCACCTGAGAAAGAATAATCCTAACTTAACATATAAGATTGGCAAACATACCTTAGAGACTGTTTTTCTTCACACAGATCTTGGTTAGACAGTTAATGACCGGCTCACCTGGTCGGAGCACATTAAGAACATAACCTCTAAGGCAAAGCGGTTGCTATATATGATGGAAAGATCATTTAGCGGTTGCACCGTTAGTACCTCCTCCTTCTTGTACACAACTTTCGTACGACTCCCACTGGAGTTTGCTGCTTCGGTATGAGATTCAAACCTTGTTCGCGATAGCAGCTTATTAAAGGCCTTTTAGCGTTGTGCTACACGAATGCCTTATGGCACGCGTAAGCCAAGTTATGAAGACCGCCTCGAGTTATATAACCTGCCTGCTTTTGCTGATAGAAGAATGCGAGGAGATCTCATCATCACTTTCAGAGCACTGCATAATTTGTTTGGTGTGGACATGTCGCATCTGTTTCATCTGGCAACGAGCAATCTCAGATGCCGTAACTTCAAATTGCAGGAGGAAGCTTTTAGAACCTCTACTCGTCAGCGCTTTATCTCAAACCGTGTCTTCGATGCATGGAACAGTCTTCCATCTTATGTAGTGAACTCGGCATCCGTCAACAGTTTCAAAAACAATTAAAATATTGTTCCCATTCTGTATATGTCTACTTCAAAAGTGCTAAGATTATCAAATTGTTATATTTCTTTTGTCTGTACACTATTATCTATTATGTGTTTGAGTTTATAGTACTTGTACTCAACTCAAATTTGTTGTTTAATAATAATAATAATAATATGAGTCTCTTGAGTCTTGCAGAAGAGGCCAAATGTCGTTTCTGCACAGAGCGTGAGGAAACCCCAGTGCATCTCCTGTGTCACTGCGAACTCCTGGCAAAAAACGGTTTTAGATAGTCAGAACCAGAAATCTAATAGCGGAAAGCTAGATGCAAGGCTGTGGAGTCTGATTGAAGGATCATTGCTGGACACAGTGCTTATGAAAGTGTATATGGGGGTCACAATAGATACATTTGGGTCACAGTGACGTTACGGCTAGTAAGCCAATCTGTTCTAAGATATGTTGCAACTACACAATCGATATATGATTTTCAAATTCTAGGCAGGAATAGTGGGAGTAGTGGGGCGAATGAGAACTTTGATGTGTGGGAGGCCAAACTTGCGTTGCGCCTACAATTATGTGTTGCTATAATAAAATGACATACTTCTGTTCAATTACTGACTGCTATCATCTACAACTCTCAGTCACGTAACCGATGTTGCCATTAATCATTTAATAGAATGACTAATTGCATATCCTAAATCGTTGTAACAAAAAGTTGTTTGTTGTTAACCAGCACTACCACATCTGGATCATCTCATTGTCAGATGTTCAGTTAAGATACATATTTTTATTCAATTCACCTTCCAACGTAATAAAAGGATGGCAATGTCTTTTTATTTCAAACAAATAAACAAAGAATCTAAATCGAATATGGTGATCGGATGATGTTAATTAGCTTGGAAATCTAAATATAAACCGTTCAGACGGAGTCATTGTCTTTGTGAAAAGAAAGGTATGCGATGAGACTATTTACTTCACGCTAATAGATTGTTGGTTGTTTTTTATGCTATTGTGCCTTGAGTGAAATATTGTTTCTTATGCATTTCACACTTACGTAATGGTGTGATAGAAACCTGTTTTTCGAGCCTATAACGGTGAGATGTGTACTCTCATTCTCATCGTTATTAAATTGTGTGATGTATGAATTAGATAACCAGAAATAATCAGGTGTTTGAAATCCGGAATAAGATATCAACGCATGGCAGCGATATATTTGATGGCGAACATAATATCTACTTTCATTCGACGCTCTTCTCCAACTAGCTTAACAATGTCAGCTTTTGTGGGTATAATCTCTTAGTGTCTAATCAATAATTCGAAAAAGATTTTACAATTAATGCGAAGTCAACACCAACATATTTATAAGTGACTGATTTATTTCTCCATTACTTTTGAAATAATAATAAATATATAAGCATTTATTGCCCAACAGAATTTTTATAATTAAATTTACAGAACAAAGAATCGAAAACTGGCACAACAATAAAAAACAATACTAATTTGTTCAAAGTTAAGAGAATAAACGAACATTATTAATGTAATATGTGTATGATATGAGACAGCTTTATTTCTTACACAGTATCACCTCCCACTCATAAATTTGTCAACACCGACCAAAAAATTAAACATAATCGTTACACAAGGTACAAAATTGGTGGATCAATAATCCCTCAGCCGCCTAAAATTTATAATGCACCGGTCATACCTCTTTTCAGCGCCAAAATTTTATGAAATTATACCTAAAGTTTAAAATACTCACATTTCGGGAATTGTTTCAAAAGAAATTTGAAAAAGTGGCTACATTCTATACATAAGACTGAAATTCATAAACTCATAAATACGAACATTAAGTAAATACATAATCTACTGTGACTAATTTTTGTCCTTTGCATTTCACAGTTGCAACTTAAAATTATTGGTCCATGTACAGGCAATGCCTGCTTCTGGGCCTGTTTTGATTCTATATTTATTTACTCATGTTGTTTGTTCTAGTTGTACATTGAGTGAATAAATATTATTATTATTACAATGCTATTTAAGGTGTCGCCATGGAACCCTATTAAATTGAGGAAGAGAACACATACAAAAATCACAAATGCTGCATATTCTCTTGAAGATAAGAAGTTATTGGTTCTAGAACATGCCCTTGAAACTAAAATGGGATAACAGTCTGAAGAATCGACAATATCATGTAAAAGTTTATATAAGATGACAGAGTTGTACTTTCTTCTCTCACTCAATGAGGCACCTTGGAATCTTTTCAATAATACTTGGTAGTGCGACCCACGCTGAGGATGAACTGAATTAATCTTTGAAACCAAATACTTAAGAAATTTCTTTTGAACTTGATTGATTTGATTTATATTACAGTTATAATAAGGACTCAAAATCAAGGAAACATATTCCGATTTGGAACGTATATACTTATCTGTATACAAAGTAGAATGATTTTGATGCAGCCAACTCTTTAATAAGCTTCAGGTTGTAGCAATAGAATCAAACTTCTATTGGCTCTATTTACAATTTGAGTAATGTATTAATCAAAATTCATCCTACTGTCAAATATCACGACTAAATCTCAAACCGTGCTGACTGATTACATTTCCTCCATTGTTATAAGGTTAAATTACTGTTTGTTGTTTTCGACAGAATGTAACCACCTTACATTTAGCAATATTCAGATAAATTTTATTCGGTCGACACCAATCTTCCAACTTAGATAATTGACACTGTAAAGACTCACAATCAGTGATGGTGTTGATTTCGAATAACAAATTTCAAGTCATGGGCAAATATAATTGTTTCATAATTAATATTGCTACTTATATCGTTAAAAAAGAGCAAAACAATGGAATGAAATCAAATAGATCCAATTTTTTATCCTTATCCCTTGGAGAAAGTTAGAGAAGGTATACTTATAAAATTATAGCATATAAATTCCTGTCTCTGGAAACTTCACAACCCCCCCCCCCCTTCACTACGTTTTCCATCACTTTTTGGTAGGTTTCGGTATGAATATTTTGGGTTACTTCCAAGATACTGCTATTCAGCCATCTGTTGATCTTGGTGCCCAGATAAAACCGACTGATGGTGATATCGAAAGTCCTGAAGACATTCTTCGCAAAAGATATTATAGCGTTTCTCTAACTGCTGCGTTGCTCATATCGGAAACGCTCGCAAGTAGTATATGAATTACGTGCCATACATTTTTTGACGTCTGCAACCATTTGAAGACTTATACTAACAAAACTGAACTAAGGAGCTATATTCGGAAAGTAAAGGAACATATTATTTCATCTTCAAAAAGTGATTAAGTATAACCAAGAAGTGTAAGCCTTAGACAAAGACACATAGATATACCTATCGAGCTTGTGAAGCCCTTCATTTTTTTTGCATTAGGACATTGCGTCCCATTAGCCATATCCAATCTTGTGTATGTATATCTCTAATTATGGACAAACACACGACGTCACAACATCCATGGCGAAGGCGAGATTCGAACTCGCGGCCCGGCCGACGATTTCTGACACACTTATTTATCGATGCGTTCCATAAGTATTATCACCCTATTCTTAAAAAATAGCGTCAAGTAGGTTGACTCTGCACTTCTCACGCAACGGTATCATCAGTTCATAAAGAATTATAACTTAGTCACTTTGATCTAGAAACAAGTATGTATAACAAAAAAATTAAATGGGTGAAGTCAGTCAAAAAGTCCCATATGCAATTAGTACCTACTCCATAGTCCCCATCCGTCTTATAACGCTAGCTTCTTCTCTGCCCTAAGTATCGACCATCTGGCAACGCTGCTGGACCACACCAGTCAAACACTTCATAAACGCCAGCCGCCACTACCCTACCGGCGATGCTGTCAGACGCAAGGCAGGGTTTGGCGTATGAAAGTCGCCGTTAGATCGTATCGTCCCCGAACGTGTGTATCGTCCATAAATATTTCTCTAAGTTACGAGGGATGTCTTTTAAGTTTTGCATATAGAAACATAGTAGGCCGCGCGGATCGAACGTCAGTACTGAATCTTAACCTCACTCTTTAGTAAACTTAAATTCAAAGTTTCACAACAATACGTGCTGTGTTCGCACTACAGTGAATTTTTAAGTGTCACCAAGCCATTAGAAAAATGGAACTCAACCGAGACTATTTTCGCGCCATAATTTATTACAACTTTCAGAGACAATTATCGCAACAAGAATGCCTTGCTGAGTCACTGTCTGTTTTCAGCAACAGAGCGCCACATAAGTCGACAATTTCCTGTTCGTATGGAGAATTAAAACGTGGACGGGTGAGTCTTAGCGACGATCCCAGGGTGGGTGCATCAAAAACGGCAGTCACCCAGGAAAACGTCGATGCTGTGCGCAAACTCATCATTGAAGATACACATGTGACATATCGCGCGATTGAGGCGTCCTTGTAGATCTCAAAGACCTCATTTCAAAAAATTTTACATGAAGAATTAGGAGTAAGAAAATTAGTTTCTCGTTGGATACCCCACCTGTTGACTGAAGAGCAGAAAGCAGCCAGGGTTAATTGGTGTCAAAAAACGCGTGACCGTCTTAATTCCGGAAACTCAAAAAATGTGTACATTGTTAGTGGTGATGAATCGTGGATTTACTGTTATGAATCAGAAAATAAACGACAGTCGGCTGTTTGGTTATTCCAAGGTGAAGAAAAGCCAACAAAGTCATCCGTTCTCGAAGTGTTTCGAAAAAGATGGTCGCGACATTTGTGTCAAAAGCGGGTCATATTGCAACAATTCCTCTTGATGAGCAAAGAACTGTTACTGCGGATTGGTATACCACCATTTGTTTGCCAAAAGTCATCACCGAGCTTAGAAAAATCAACCCCGAAAGAAGAATCATCGTCCACCAAGACAATGCAAGCTCGCACACAGCCCAAAAAATAAGGCAGTATTTAACGGAAGAAAACGTGGAATTATTGGACCATCCTCCATATAGTCCCGATCTAAGTCCTAACGATTTCTTTACTTTCCCGAAAATTAAAAACAGACTGCGTGGTCAAAGGTTCCAATCACCAGAATAAGCAGTTAACGCATTAAAAATGCCGTTTTGGATCTGCCAGCAAACGAGTGGAATATGTGTTTCGAAAATTGGTTCGAGCGCATGCAGATGTGTATTAATCTTCGTGGAGAATACTTCGAAAAACAATAAAGTCATTTAAAACTACCTACCGTGTTGTTTTATTTTCATATGCAAAACTTAAAAGACGTATAAGGGCAAATGTACGGGAAAACTTTTGGTGCCTGAAATATGTACTCTTAGGTATGTAAAATTACTGGGGTTGGAATCGTATAAATATACTGCTGCCAACAAAATGAGATCCAATCCCCTTCTGTTTGCCCCTGGCTCCGCTGCCACTGGACAGTTTTTCAAAAACTACAAATCATTTCCAACAAAGTCGACCCATCAACATCCAAAGTGTAAGAATGCTCCTACTGGACAACAAATCGGACCTCGCACCATATTTATGCTAATTCTGCCTGTAAACAATTTTCCAATTATTTATCAATTATAACACTAGCGGTTCAGTTTCGTACCATTTTTGCCTAAGTTAATTTACTCCAGCCCTTTTTGAGCAATATTTTGCGACAAAACAAGGTGACATAGAAGCTGTTTTACTCTGTGACATGATGTCATTGATTATTAAATAATACTATTAACAAATTCTAACTCGTCTTCTGTTGTCTTGCTTAGCATTCCTGTCGCGAGCAATGCTGTCTGTGACCTTAATCATTTTTAATAGATTATTAGACATTAAAATATCGTACTAATAACAGGCATTTATGATAATTAGAATAAGGAAAATCGTATCAGTTCCTTCGAGGATTCCTCGGAACAACACAGAACTGAAAGTAGAGAAAAGCCTCATTCACGAGCATGCCGCGGTTCAAAATGTCAAGGAAAAAATACCTGTATTCTATTTATTATTTAATGTAAATGCAAAGAAGTGGATTAGTGTAACTATGAGTTTGTATCTAATTTGTCTACGTCTTGATATACATCCATTTTTGTATTCAAATTGATCCTTGATATTGTTTTGCTTTTGCTATGACGTAAGTAGATAAAATTCGATGTCGTCAAGTATGCATCAATTCAATAAATGTCAAAAATGATCCTTAGAAAATGGGGTCAAGTAGATGGACTCTGCACTTCTCACGCAACTAGACCCTCTGAGAAAAAAGTCAGCCAAACAGGTCCATACAATTAGTCCACAGACGTTATTTCTCTGCCGTAGCAGTAGAAATCGGTGCATAGAATTACCAAGATTGGGAAAGTATAAAAATGTTTATACCAAAAACTTGAGCCCTTCTACAACCCCCACCCCCAATTTTTTTACATTCAAAATTTTCTCAAAAATGATGAGGATCCTCCGAAATGTCAAAAAGCAAAGTTCTAATTTTATTTTTTTTTGTTTTAGACCTTTATCTCCTCCCCAATGGACCGATTTTTAAAAACTACATTTTTTCGTCCTTGTCATAGTAGTAACATTGTGTAAAAGTTTTATCAAAACCCAGGCGATACTTCTCAAGGTAAAGGCGGTTATAGGATTAGCGGACAGACCGACAGACATGGTTGTCCGTGATGTACATGTAATATAATATCCAAAAAACATATCTCATTTGCGAAAATTTTCGCAATACAATACTTCCCCACCAGTAACCGTGGGAAGTAAAAGGTGCATTGATCTACATGAAATCTATATAATGCTCCAATACTTTGACATTTACAACTTTCTATTTGACAATGATAGCTCTAAAGAGTGAGAGTTCGCTGCAAAAAGTCTTAGGTATCGTACATGTATCGTATACAGGGTGACGGGAAAATAGATGCGGAGCCGGTGGGGGGAGATAGTACAAGAGAATCTGATTTTACTATGGGAACTACTGCCCGAAAATTATCCGTTTTCGAGTTATACTAATTTTCAAGATTTTATAAAATTAATGTCCTTTATAAGTTAACCAAGTCATAAAACTTAAAAATTGGGTGTTACATTTGATTTTTTTTGGTTTTACAATAAAAATATTTTAAAATACGAAAATTGATACTCAAGTGTACATTATTGATGTTATCTCGTGCAGTAAGCTTCAAAATAGTTCGATTGTTGTTAAAAAAATCTTCATTCATCTCAACTCAAAAGCTTCAGTTTACTAGTTTTTTGTATAAAATAATCAGAAAACATGTACGTTTCATTACCTTTCAAATAAGGTATAAAAATCACAAATCGATTAAGAATTGGCAAAAATATGACTATTATAAGAGGAGGAAGGAAAAAGCAATAAAAACACTACACTTACAAAATCATACCTTAATACAGGATAATTTGTTTGAACTATATTTTTTTATTTTTATAATACATTTTCAATATGGCGCCCTCTATTTCTAATGCTCACACGTGCTCTTCTTATGTCCCGATCTCACACCTATGTAGTTTTTTGTGTGGGGTCGCACGAAAACTTTAGTATACTCTGATCAAAATCCTGTTCCCACAATAGAAGACCTCAGAAACAGGATAATACATGCAGCACAAGAAATTCAAGCCTCTATTAGGAATTCGGCGGTAGTAGATCAGCTGTCATAAGAAGAGCACGTGTGTGCATTAGAAATAGAGGGCACCATATTGAAAATGCCTTATAAAAATAAAAAATGTAGTTTCTAACAAATTATCCTATATTAAGGTATGATTTTGTGAGTGTAGTATTTTTATTGCTTTTTTCTTCCTCCTTTTACAATAGTCATATTTTTGCCAATTCTTAATCGATTTGTTATTTTTATACCTCATTTGAAAGGTAATGAAACTTAGATGTCTTTTTAATAATTTTGTACGAAAAATTTGTATGCGACTTTTTCTAGTAAACTGAAGCCTTTGAGATGGACGAAGATTTTTTAACAAAAATCGAACTATTGTGACGCTTACTGCATGAGATAACGTCAATAATGTACATTTGAGTATCAATTTTCGTATTTTAGAATATTCTTATTGTAAAACCAAAAAAAACTCAAATGAAACACCCAATTTGCAAGATTTATGACTTGGTTAATGATATAATGGACGTTAATTTTATAAAATCTTAAAAATTAGTATAATTCGAAAACGGCTAACTTTCGGACAGTAGTTCCTAGAATAAAACGACTCAGATCGGCTTGTGCTATCTCCCCCCACCGGCTCCGAATCTACTTTCTCGTCACCCGTATAACGAAATAGAATAAAATAATGAATCTGTCTTTGACATACAGAGGTATGTGCAACTTGGATCGCTCAGTTTTGTACATACATACGAGATCTGAAAATTAAGTTATGAGTCTGATTTTTTTAATTTTCTGATTCAGATATAATTACAATTTTACATTGTGTCACCCTCAAAACAACTTCCTTTTGAAGCCACACAGCGCTGGAAACTGTTCTTCCACTCCTCATAGCAGTGCTGAATCTCCGATACTGGAAACGCCTTCAGCTGGTGGGTTACAGCCGTTCCAATGTTCTTGACTGTCCCAAAATGAGTTCTGAGGTGATTTTTCAACTTCGGAAAGAGACAAAAGTCTCAAGGACTCAAATCAGGTAAATTAGGAGGATGAGGAGCCACAGGTTTTTACTGGCCAAAAACTCGTTTATTGACAGTGGTGTGTGACAAGGAGTATTATCGTGATACAACACTCAGTTGTTCTTGATCTGATTAAATATTCCAAGATCATTGTGACAGTCAATCGACGATCTAATGCACAAGATCCCGGATTCTGTCAATATTTTCATCGGTTCTTGAAGATGAAGGCCTTCCGCTTCGTGCTTCATCTTCAATCGCCTCTTCTGAAAATGCCTTAAACCATCATTTTTAGAATACAATAGAAAATACTGTTACACAAAAAATTTACGGGCAACCAAATGACTCTAGCTAGTTGAGACTTGTACTAAAGGCGGGCCACATCTTACCCTCTCTCGTCTTCAAGCCCGGTGCCTCCAATGTTGCCAGATCGAACGCTACGCCAGTCTCATCTCTCAATTTACAGACCTCGTATATTGAGGTTTGAGAAAATATAAAAATGCAGGGTAAAGTTGTAAAAAGAATAATATTGATCCAAATATACCTTAATAAAATGTAATTCGTTATTAAGACAAGTGTCCACAGTTTGGCTTTCGAAATTGTTATATTTATGCTCGATAGCTTTTTGACGATGATAAATCCGTCTATATTCTATTTTTTTATAGTTACAGTCTATAATCTCGTGGTTTTATGCGATAACTTCCGTGCTGATACGGTTCCATTATACTCGTATTTTGATTGTCTCTTATCATTGCTTTTTGGCACATTCATTATGGGCCACCCCGTAAAAGAAATAAATGAAATACAACATATTTAAATTACTAATTCAAATAAAAAAACCCAAAAAGGGAAATTGTCTAAAAACTTCTGCAATTTTTTTTTATTTTAGGTTTTCAAAGATGAACAATCGGTCCAACTAATAAATCAATAATCCATAAATACTATTCTGTTTAAAAGTGCTGACTATCTGTCCATCAGTTTTTATTTTTTATAATTTGTAGGATAAAGGGATGATAAAACATATATTGGCTTCTCTTTCAGGTGAAATGATTATTTTGATTTTGCATTAAAACGGATGCTTTCATCTATTAAATGGAAGATATTTAATTTAGACTTAACAACAATAAACTGCTACTTGAAGCTAATTCTTGGGATCCCAAATCTAACACAAATAAGTAAAGTTGGCGTAAATTCCGCAAAAGCTAGAGAAAGTTATAAGCTACATTTTGTGAGAAACGTTGTTCCAACAATGCCTTCCTAATTGAAACATGTTAAAAAAAATACCTCATTCTTTCGAGAAAGTTGGTTTTTTGAAGATCCACATACACAACCAAGTAGTCGCAACCTATTTTGGTAGAACTGTCACTAACATTTCATCAGTATTTCATAAGTTCAATGTCTCGGTGTCAGCTTGTTTAACAGATACCTAATTTTGAAATGCATTACATTATATCATTAAATAAGTTTGTCATCGTGCAAAATGATCAGAATCACCGTTACGTAAACCTTACCTATTTTATTTTCAACGTTCTCGATTATAAATGTTACTAATAAGTTGAAGCTTTTGCCCAATTAATATGATCTGATCTATCTGTAAGTGTCCAAATTCGCTCG